GGTTGTTTATTCTTATAGTTCATATATTTTATTCATGTGGCTTACTCACTTTTTCAGGGGTGTCGAGACTCATGGATTTACTGGCGGACTCAAGGGAGGTTATACGGAATGATGTAAGTACAAAGCAAAGAGATTTCAATTGTGCCCTTACTCTGGAGCTGCTTATCCTTTATAAGTAGGAGCTCTTCATTAAAGCATTCCTGTAATGCTATACTTAACCTTCTGTTATCTGCTTTTCTTCAAAAGCTGCATTTCAAAGAAGTTTGCAAGGTCGGGAAAGAATGGGATGTCATGTTCTTCTCATGTACATGGTCTTGGTGCCAATTGGTATATTATCTGATAGTTTAGTGCCACAAAGCACCATGTATGCTACAAAGTGCATAGTGTTGAAATACAGCATACCTAAAGATGACCTGTTAGTGGTAAGCAGATTGCCTTTCCTTCCTAGCAGTATATCGGGAGACCTGCAGAACAAACTCTCTTGTTTTTAACTCTTGGCTAATGCAAATGGCTCTGTATTTATAACATTTGCTTCCGGGCTTCTGTTTACACTTGCAAGTCAAAATGGACTGCCTTGCTATGGATGGAAGGCTTTTAACAAATCACAGTTTTTCTAGAGAACAAGTACATAATTTTCTTAAGAGGTTATTATGCTTTCTAGAGTTCCAAGTTAACGTGTAAGTGAACCGCTTCATTCACTATGCAAAGATGCACACCTCTAGGGTGCAATATGACTAGCAGCCATATTATGTGACGGTATAGGAGTTATTCATTTCTTATCCTCTTGAAACTAAGAGGAAAGGGGCATTTTGATCAATCTGTAGAGGGACATTAATTCTTTAGTTAAGAACAGTAAATTCTTCAATATTGTGTCCATCTGAAAAACAACTTCCTATTATGTAGTCATCCCTACCACCACCACCAAATATTGGTTCACAGACCAATAATACAACCCCCTGTTCTTCGGATCTGGTCTGCCAGCTCAAATGAGCTTGATGTTCCTGATCTGGTTGAATAGAAGTTTGAAGGTAATGGGTGCTTAATATGTGAAGTATTTTGGGATCCCCTAGAATGGTAGCTGAGATCTATAAACACTGTGTACATTTTCTGGGCACTTTTTTTAGGAATTTATTGGAGTAAATTTGTCATGGAGCTGCTCAGTACCACAGGTTCATGAGGTTTCTTTTCCTACTTTCCTAAGGTTATGTTGCTTGGTGATCACTACCTTGTATGCATAGTATTGCTGAAAGTGTCCCTAATTGTTATCCACAGTTGAATTTTGATGCTTTATATCTGTTTCCATATGAAATACAGTCTCTGTGTCCTTACTTAAGCAATGCATGTCAACAAGCCAATACGTGCTTTTACTAATTCTAAGCTAAGTTACATAAATGCTTGTGAAGTCAGTCTTCAAGCTTGATGTGCATATAAAATTTAGCAACCTTGAATCAAAACCTTTGCCTTTTTGGTTTAGACATCTTATCACAGTTGCTCAAGTTATAATTATACATGGTAGTTACAGGTTTTCATCATGTATCTGTATATCTTCTCATCTTTTGGACTCTGGCTTACCCAACTCCATCCCTCTGTTTTGCTGATATCTGTCTTGTCCTTTGGCCAGAACAGCCCTCATCCCAGCTTAGTGTGGAATGCTTCTCTGGACATGTAGTTTGTTCTTATTGCCACTTTCATTTCTTTGCTTTTATCAACATTCCATTGAAATTTTCTAGTGTATTGAAGCAATTAAACTATACACATAGATGCAGTATCGATGACCGTAGCAAATTGCACTATTCAACTTTGTGTTCAGTGATTCCCACTATGGTTGGAGCTGTTAATGTGTTACAGTTCTTATGGGAACCTTTCTTTGTAAAGCTAATGGTTTTTCTTTTAATACAGTTTTAAGTTACTGCTCTTTTCTTTTTCCCAAAGGGAGTCTTGTTGTTACAGCAATTGACAAAAAGCAATGCAGCCATTCAGAAAATTGTTGCTTTTGAAAATGCCTTTGAGAGACTTCTGGATATCATAACAGAAGAAGGAAACAGTGATGGAGGTATGGTACAAATGTGAATGCTGCTTTGTGCAGCAGGTGATACTAATGATTAAACTAAGGCCCTGGAAATGCTTGTTTCAATCGGAGAGTTACTCTCAAAGCTTTTGTAGTTTTAGAAACACTAGAAAATTATGGGCTGTTCCCATTCAATTTCTTTTGGAAGTTATTGGTGACATGGGTAGGTAAAAGCACTGAGTAAGCAGCTAGAATCCTTGTAAAACAAAGTGATGCAAATAAGCAAGTTCCAGGATATTTTGGGATTCTAGTCTCAGGTACTTTAAGTACAGATGTCAAAGACTAACCTGTTCTTATTGTATGTCAATGTGAATCCAACTGTAGTTCACCCTGCACATAGTCAGCTACTTGAAAAAGTGTGCGTCAGTGCTGTGCATGCACTGTTTGCCATGGTCTTTTGTGAGCGTGGAGTGGCTATGTCCTTTCCTCAGTTCAGCCTTACCTCACTGGAAGCAAGAAGGAACCTGGCATATCTGACCTGCTATGCTTCCCTGAACTTGAAACTCATCCCTAGGTTGTTTTTGAAGAGTCTTTCTTCGAATCCAGGCTTTTTTCAAGAAAAGGGAAAAGGAATGCCTTTCTCGCTAATTCTTTGTGATACTGAGTGGAAAAGCACTGCAGATACTGGTACTGGCAAAGCTACTGGCACAGATGCTGATTTATGGAACCCAGGTTTACATTCATGGAATAATTAGGACCTCCCTTTGGGGCTGATACCAGTATTGACATGGCACTGAGCGCACTGGAAGTGGAGCTGAGATCTCTTTTTGGTACTTACGTTCAAGGAGCACTGTTCTTCATCTCTGTTGCTGGTCTTGAACACTGAGTGGAATGGCCTCCCCTCCCTACCATTCACAAGCAACTATGGGGCCTCTGTGAGAGATGTTCTCCATAGGGCAGTGGTGCTCAAGCTTTTGGCCCCCCAGGCCAGATGAGCAGTGTGGGGCTAGTCTGCTGGCTAGATCGGCCCCTGCATGCCATGACTGGGCTCTGGAACCCAGCCCTGTGTGCTGAGACTAGTGCAGGGCCCAGGGCTTCCTGTGAATTTGGAAGTTTGGCATCTAGAGCAGAGCACATCATTCCAGGATTCTGATAGACCTAATGGTTCCCTTGCCCCATGCACATGTACTGAAGTGAAATATTTCAAAATAGCACCTTATTTAAAGAGGTGCAGTTCTGTAGTGCTTTTGTCATTTTTGGTATGTTTCAGAGAGCATGTGCATTTGCACAGTTGTCTTTGAAATGTTTCAAAAGTATTTGAAATGTTTTGCTTGTTGCATCTGTCTACACTTAATCATTCGGACTTGTAGCATTAGCTGCCTAGTTGAAACAAGGGTTTTAGGTTGTAGCCGTGTTGGTCTAAGGATATAGGCAGACAAGGTTCCTTGGGTGAATTTGATATCTTTTATTAGACCAACCCAAATGGTTGGAGAATAGTTATTAAGCAAGCTTTCGGGTTCAAAAACCCTTCGTCAGGCTCAGGAAGCTGCAGCAGTTGGTGTGTGCTCTTCCTGGATGGAATGAAAAGTAAACAAGCCAGGGGCTGGGCTGGGCGGGGGAGTCAGTTGCCAGGCAGATTATAATGTATCAAAAATTTATAATCAGCCTGGCAACTGACTCCCCCGCCCAGCCCAGCCCCTGGCTTGTTTACTTTTCATTCCATCCAGGAAGAGCACACACCAACTGCTGCAGCTTCCTGAGGGAAAGGCAGTAGAGCAGACAGCTCTGAGCCCACAGCGACCAGCCCACATCCACCCCACGTGCAAATCTGAGGGGACACTTGCCCCTCCCAGGGGGTGTGCATAGTAGTGGGGAGCTGCCCCCCCATGCCTCTTGCATGAGATGCTCATGGCTCTGTCCCCTCCCCGGGTCCCATGCAGCACCCCAAGCCCCTGTCCCACTCTCCCTCAACATGAGGGCCTTGATCTTCTCTTCCCCCACGCTCCTTCCCATCCATAGACTTACCTGCAGAGAGCTACTTTTCTCTCCGTCCAGCTGTATTCCTGGCCATGTGCGTGCATGCATGCACGCATGCATGCATGCAGCGCCCCGTCTCTCTCTTCTGGCAGCTCCCAGCAGGCTAGAATGCTGGCTAGAATGCTGCCTGCCTGCCTGCAAAGGGAAACCAGCTGTTTTCCAAGGGAACCCAGGCATCTGGGGGTCCCCCAGGAGAGAGGGAACCCAGCTGTCCAGGGCCCTGGCCAGAGGCATAATTATTGGTGACCATTATTGCCTAGAGTGGCCAAAAAAAGCTGATAGCCGATGATATCATTTCCCCCTTTTATTGGTGCCAATCCAATAGGCAACTGATATATTGGTGCACATCTTCCTAGGAGTCGAGGACAAATTGGCAGACTCCAGAAGAAGTAGTTGGTAGCCAATTACAAATGGCGGTTTTGCACCCTAATTGCAGAAATGCTGTTCCATCTGATGCCCCCTAAAATTCTATCCCCAAGGACAGTGAAAAATATGAAAACTTTTGCTCCAGCGGAGGCCTGAGTTACAACTGTTATTTTCCTATTGTGGCATAGAGGCTTGCTGGTGTACATCGTTCCATAAACCATTGTTGTTAGGGATAGCTCCATAGCAGCTGAGTCGGTTCTGGCTCATAGAGCTTTTCCAAATGTCATTTCAGCCCCTGCTCTAACTCCTAGAACAACTAGATCTGATCTCATGGCATTGGGGCCAGATGCTACATCCAGATCTAAAGTTACTGCACCTTCTCACCTGGCAGCCCTTTTCTTGGCTAGGTGACATTAACTGTGATTGCTCCCTGTTACTTCTAAGAAACCCTGTTACAAACCTGATAAGCATTCTTTTAAGCAGACGTTCTTTACCTGGGTAGCCCAAAACAGCTTATAATAATAGTGGTTTTGTGTGATTTTTGTGTGGTTGGCCATGACCCACCT